TTTAAAAAAAAGTAAAATTCAAGCAATAAATTTGAACATATATAAATGAGTGTTATTTAAAAAAAGCATATTATATTCTTTAATTTAATAGAATAATAAATATAACATATAATTAATTAAAATTTATATTATTGTAGTTTTAAAATAAATAAGTTATACAAGTAAAATTTTAATTGCCATATTTATTTTTTTCTTATATATATATATATATATATACCACTATAAAGGGGGAATGATTAAATGTAAATGGATTTTGATCACCATCTATTTGAATCTTTCTTATTCCCATAATAGCAATAAATTAAATTAAATTAAATTAAATTAAATTTTTTAAAAAAAAAACTGAAGAATAAGAAGACGTCACATTCCCGCATACCAAAGCCACGTGAACTCACCCAACCCCAAACTTATCGGACCCCCGGCTGTCCGCTCGCTTATCGAAAAATCCCCTTCACTAATTTTCATATGATGCTTATCTAAATAGCGAATACAATAAAAATTATATATATATGGGGGGTCCGCCCGACGATTAATCTTTTATATATATATATATATATATATATATTCTATCTCTCTCTCAATAAAAAATAAATAAATAAAACGGTTGATAAAAAAATTAAAATAATCCTGTTTTAATAGTTGAAAAATACTTTAAAATTTTATAGGAATCAAATAGATCGATTTTATTTATAAAAATTAATTTAGTTAGGGCTCTAAGTGAGTTGACCTAACTCGAGCTGGCTAGCTGAGGTTATCAAGTCGTGCACTTGAGCTCAAATACATGTTAGTTTATTAATTAAAGTTTGAGTTTGAGCATGTTGAGGTTCGACTTCTTGGCCTAGAGTTGACTCAACTAATATGATTCCTACATGTTCATGTTTTCTTCTGTAAGTTGTCACAATACTTCGTTTTTTCTTTCATTATAGATTACTTGAATGATTTCTTCGGTGAGCTTCTATGACAGCTTCATTTGAGCTCCTTAGGAGGCTCGCGAGCCTAATATTAGGGCCATGAGTAGAGCTCCAACTCAAGTATTTTTTTTTTTGGAAAACACACTACAGGGGAAGCTAGAGTTAGTGTTTGATATTTGCTTCGGAAATTTTCGACGCAAATATTAACATCGGATTAGCGGCTGTTAAGCGGCAAAAAAAAATTATGACATTTGTGCCGGCTTATTCAGTGATAAAAAGTGTTTTGAAAATGACAACTTATTTTGGTGTTGCGACGGATTATGCTTCGACTTTCAGTCTAAAAAATCGACGCAAATAATTTACTTGTTTGTGTCGAAATAATCAGACGCAACTTCGACGCAAATCCAACGCGAATGACCTAAATTATTTATCCCTCCCGCCTAATTTTTATTTTCTCTCCACACTCGTGTGCTCCTCAGCTGAAAGCCTTGTGCCTTTCCCTCTCCCTCACGGGTTTTCTCAAATCGATCGCCTTTTTGAACGGACCTTCGCAAAATAGTCGCCATTAGAGCAAGCCGAGAAGGTAACAACGTACATGTATAGAGACCACCGAAACTCCCATAGTTCTCATTCTTTCGCTCTGCTCCAATCAGAAAACACTGAGGAAGGTAATTCATTTGCGTTAGTCTTTGTCATTTAATTTTTTTTAGTGATACGGGTCTTTCATATGTAATGTTTAGGTGTTAGGTATATATGAAGTATTTTTGTGATATATTTTTTATTCAAGTGCATAGGTAATGTTGTGTGCATGTACAAATTGAAGTTTAGGTTATATATATATATATATATATATATATAATAATTGAGTGGTATTTATGAAAATATTCAAAGATATGAATTGTGGTATGTATGTAAAATTTGAAGTTTAAGTCTTAGGTATGTATATACATAAGAATTGAGTGATATGTTTGAAATCTTCATAAAAAAAAAAGATTTCAAGTAGTATGTATAAATATCTTCTTAAATTTGAAGTTTCGGGGTTTGGTATGTATATTCATAAGGATTGACTAGTATGTATGAAATTTCATAAAAATTGAAGCTTAGGTGTTAGCTATGTATGCACATAAGTACTGAGTGGTATGTATTCACCTATTAGTAGAATTCAAGTTTGTTGGTTAAAGTGAAGCAACATATGCATTGGGTCTTGTTTGAATCGACGGTGATATAGAAGGGGATGTTATTACTAGAATTCACATTGGTTGGTTGAAGTGGAGGAATATCTCGATCAGGTCTATTGTTCAAAATGATGGTGATATAGATGGGGATGTTATTGGTAGAATTAAAATTGGTTGGTTGAATCTGAGGAATGCATCGATCGGGTCAAATGTTCAAAGTGAGAGTGATATAGATAGGGATGTTATTAGTAGAAGTAATGTTAGTTGGTTGAAGTAGAAGAGTTCACCTGATCTTGTTAAAAGCTAGATGGGTTTGTTATTAGTAGAATTTATGTTGGTTGGTTGACTAAGTAGTATCGACTTCTTACTGCTAGTGTCGACTAAATTTTATTTTGTGCAATAGTTTTATTGATCCGTAAAACTATTTCTTTGTTGTAGATGAATATTCCTAATTTGAAATTTCAGATATATACAAGATTATATTAGGATGAAAAGAACTCGCATATGAGTTCTTCAATGATGTTGATAAATTCGTGAATGTGGCATTAGAGTTGCTCATTTATCATTCAGAGGGTAAGTTTCAGCTACCTTCTGTGAAGCACAAAAACTCAATTATTTCTGTCACTCAAAGAAGTTAAGTTGATTCTTTACCACAAAATATTCAAACTTAATTATTTCTATTGGACCGCACAAGGTAAACAAAAACCATAATTTCATTTCGAACACAGAGATGTCTCGACAAGTAATTCCCCTTCTGCAGAGGAATTTGATTCTAGCACATATGAAGAAATAGTTATTGATGCTCTAATAGATCAGTTTGTTGAGAGCGTTCAACATGAACTTGAATTACCGAAACTTGAATCGCAAAGGTTCTATAACTTATTGAATGCTGCACAACAATTTTTATGGGATGGTTGCACAACATATATAGAGTTACCAAATCATATTTTAACATGCCCAGAGATACATTCAATCAAGTAGCAACATTGTTAAAACAGACGGACATGCAGAGAATTTTGTGTCGCATGGCTCGTAGAAAACCAAAAGTTGGTATTAATGTTAGATTTACAATGTCAAAAGATCAATTGTTGTATTAATGACTGCATAATATATTACAGGGTCGATGTAGTTGAGGCAACCGACAGATTTTGCGGTACATATAAATTCAAATAAAAGGGGCAAAAAAGTAAAATTCCTAAAAAATACTCTATACAAGTGTTTTTTTTTTTATTTTTTTTAGCTCATACCTCAGCTTCAGAGAGTGCTTGCATCCATGCTCACAACCCCACATGGCTTGGCATAGTAATTACTCGAATTTTGCAGCTGAAGCACAAAATATCAGACTGGGTTATGTGCAGATGGCTTCACCCCGTACAGTTACGCTACAACCCCGTACTCATGCTAGCCATCAATCATTAAGCACTAAAATTTGTCCCTCTGATATGTGCATTACTGTCAGTTCTTATTTTTGACACCTATCAGACAAGGTCCACATAGTACAAAGGGGAAAATCAATGTCTACTTACAGCCTTTGATTGAAGAGCTTCAAATTTGATGGGAGACGGGTGTTCTTACACATGACATCACTACGAAACATAATTTTCAACTGAGAGCGACTCTTATGTGAACAATTATTGATTTCTCGACCTATGAGATGCTATCTGATTGGAGCATAGTCAGGAAATTGACTTGCCCTTGCCACATGGATAAATCAAACTCATTTAATCTAAAACATGGTAAGAAAAATAGCTGATTCAACTGACATCAAAGATTTCTTCACCGCAATCATCCATTTAGAAGGAACAGAGATACATTCTTCAAAAATAGGGTTGAGAGATCAAATCCAACCCCCAATATTACCAGTATTGACGGTAACATGACATTTTTATTCATCTTCTTATATTTTTGGACCCAAAACTCGACGCACATTTTGAATAAGCAAATTTGACACCATTACGACGCAAAACGAACACAAATTATTTGCATCGGAATATTTCAACGAAAAGTAGACGAAATTAACATTGTCAACGCCTAGTTTAACGACAGAAAAAATTGGATGTAAATGAGACACAAATCCAACAACATGCCTTAAATATCGTAGGATTTGCCTTTGATTTACTCCGGTATAATTGATACAATTATGCTTAATTCCTCTAGTGACATAAATATCCGAGCTTTGCATAACATCAGCCTAGCTTCACTCATCTACACCACAAAATTTAGGCTATACAAACATATCTTTAAATTTGAATTGAATTAAAATCTAAAATATTATAAAACCTGTTCATTAAAACTTAATGGTCATCTCAACTAAACAACTATATAATCAATCATTTACTATAAAATGTATGTTTTAAACTTTAAATGGTCAGAATTTATTCAATTTTTAAACATTTTGGATTAGCTCTGATTTCAACAATAAAAAAAGCCACATAAAATCAATTTCGACACTAATTCTCTTTGAAATCAATGCAATCCCACCCAATTAATTGCACCCTAATTTGTATAATCAGAAACCGTTGCATAATCCAGGTATAGCTTTCTTCAAGTCATGTGCGGAAGACAGCAATCCTTATTTTCTGGGTGGAAGATAATTACACAAAACTTAAAAATTAAATAAACTATAATATTCTACAACTTTATTTATTAAAAAATGTTTTAAAAATAATATTTTTACCATTTTTAAAAATCTACTCAACCTTATAGTCTTCGAAATATTACGTTATTTAAATATATTAAAGTATTTATATAAAATTAATTATTAATTAACGTAATATTTCCTGCAGGGGAATTGATCTCCAAGCAATTTAAAGTTTCCGTTTTTTTTTTTTAATTTGTAAGATATATAGATCTAACACAGCCTCTTCTGCACTTCTCTTCCCTGAAAGTTTTAACAGACCAAGCTGGAGGCAAAGACTGAAGTAAATATTACATACACTGTGCATTTTACAAAAAATTTCTCAAGCAAACCGAAGGAAAAATCCCATCTTGTTCATCGATCTCCCACTGCGATACAACAATTTAATCCGCCCTTTTACAATTCTTAGCAGCTGGTCTCATAAATCACCGTTCATTTACCAGCCGCCGGCGCTGTTGAGATCATTGCAAAACCAAGCAAGAGTCGGAACGTGCTCGTCGGAGAAGAAGGCGGAGCTGCAGGGCTCCTCCCCGCCGAAGAAACTATGCTCCTCCATCTTAAACATTTGCTGAGCCTGATACACAATTCCCCCTTCCAATCTGTTGTCGTCGGTGAGCACAACGCTTGAATCGCTGTCGCTGGATCCGTCGCCGAGCATCGGTGGCGGCGCTAACGGTCTCACAACTTCCATCTTCTCTTCTTCCTGCTTCGCCGCCGCGAGGACTGATTCGTGTTTAGCGGCGGCGATTGGGCCGAGGCTGGGTTTTGGGGGGGGTGGAGCGG